ATTTTACTGTTAATAAAGGACGAGTTCCCAACAAGAGTACCTACATGATTTATATAAAAAATTTAAATTATAGTTTAAATTAGTTTTTGGAAAGTGTCAAAAATTCAGTAAAATGATACTGAAAAATAAAAATATTACACCCATTATTAATTTTTGAATTTTCAACTTTAACACCCTGCATTTTGAAAACGGGTATTTTTTTTCTAAGCATATTTTGTTTAATATTTTTATTTTTAATCAGATAATCTTCAGTTGTACTATGTCCAATTCTTAATGATATATATTATGATATAAATTAGTTAACTATTAATTATTGTTTTAAAATTAGAATTAAAAATTTGTGTATTTATAACTGTTTTGAAATTAATAAAATAAATAATATGCTTTTGTTTTTCTTTACAGGTTTTATCCGAATTAATTTAAAATAAATTATATAATATTATTAATAGCAATAATACATTTCTTAAGTGTTGAGAAAAATTGTATTTTTAATTCAAATACATATACCTATAGGTAGGTAGGTAAGGTACCTACCTAAGTACTTAGCATAAGTAATTATAAACAACAGGTTATTTCTTTAATCTGGTGCGTAACAATGTAATAAAAAAACCCTTAAGATAGTTGGTAAATAATATAAATGAATTCCTAATATTGAAGTAAACACAATGGGTTCTATAAAGATTATTGTTTGGGTTTCGGCTCTGGGCGATAGGGTATTTAGGGACGAAATATTGAAACTAAACTTATTATATAGATGTATTATGGCATAAAAATAAAAATCGCTTCAAAAAAATTCACCCTTCCTCACCCCTATCTGATATGGTGAGGGTGGCATCCCCAAAAAATTAAGTTAGAACTTTTTAAATAAAACAATTGAAGTCTACGATTTTTTATACATAAAAACCCAAAATTACAATTTTTTTGAAAACATTTTTCCAAATTTTTTTTTGAACCTAGAAAAAATTTCGACTTTAATCTTCATAGTTCGAATGTGGAGGCTGGCATTTAAAAATAGTTACAGATGACATAAAAATCTTATTTTTGACATATTTACAATAGAAATGATTTGCAACATTTTGGATTAAAATCTTACCACCACCATCCCCTAGAAGGAGATAGAAGTTAGAACTTTTTAAAAAAACAATTAAAATCTACGATTTTTTATACATACAAACCCTTAATTTACATTTTTTTTGATAAAATTTTTCCAAAATTTTTTTTGGCTTTCTGAAAAATTTGATAAAAAAAATTTAAATTTTGGGTTTATATGTATAAAAAATCCTAGAGTTTAACTGTTTTGTTAAAAAGTTCTAACTTGATTTGTTTGGGGATACCACCCCCACCATATCAGATAGGGGTGGAGAGGGGTGAATTTTTTTAATGCAATTTTAATTTTTTTAGGATAGTACATCCACACGGAAAAAAAATTGTAGAAGAAATTTCTACAATTATAGATTTTTTCTCTACAATAAATAGTACATATAGGGACAGGGACAATTTGTAGTAAAAATTTCCAAATATTTGTGGAGAATGTATTGTAGAGTTATTATCTACAATATTTAGTAAAAATATCCAAATGCATCATAAGAATTGTTCTACAAATTGTTATAATTTTTGCTATTCATTGTATGAATTTATATTAAAAATGTATTGCGTTTTATGAAAATAAATAAGAAAATTTTACACAATAAATAGTAAAAATTCATACAAATTGTAGTAATTTTTAATAAAACTTGTAGTAGTATTCCATAATTATTATAAATATAACCTAGAAAAAAATGTTCCTTAATAAAATATTCAATTTATTGTTTTAATATAAAAGATACAAAGTCTTAATTACATTATGTAATAAATAACAGTAATAATAGGCACCCTCAGTCTCAGTTGGCTTTTCTGCACCTAAAAAATATGAAATAAAAATTAATAACAATTGAACTGTTCATACCCTTAAAACGGAGATATTTATCACCTTTACACTGATTTGGATATTAAATGACTAAGTCAGATAACTAACAAAAATGAGAAAGTAGGCATGTCACTAATAAGACAAAAAACATCATTGAATTTGGCACAAAATTCGATCGTTGGCCACAACTATTTTTTTTAAAATAATCTACTAAGGTTATTTAAATTAGTTATCTGAAGGTAAATTATTTAAAAACAATAAATGTACTTACCACCAATAGAATTTATTATTAAAATTTTTTCAAACGCATCGGTGCTTATAATATAATAATGTGTTATAGGTACTCGTATATGTACCATGCTTTGTTATGTGAACATGGCGAACGGCTACTGCTATCTGGCCATTTATGATCGACGTCAGAAAACGTTGGCCAATAGCAGAATTCTGTTTTGTTCACATGACTTAGAATTTCTACAATATTATAGAATATTTTTGAACAAAATTGAATATTTTTCATAAGAAGGAATGTAAATTATTACTATTTTTTGTAGAGAAAATTACTATTTTTTGTAGAGATAATTATTAATATTTGTACAAATTTTTTCAAAAGTTAGTAGTAGTAATTACGATAATTGTAATAAATTTCTACTTCTACAAACAATAGTAAAATATACTAAACATTGTGGAATTTTTTCCTATTGTTGTAGCATTTTATTCGACAATTCAGTTGCTACAATAATGAATAGTTTTTAACTATAAATTGTAGTAAAATTTTCTACAAATTGTTAAGTATTTTTCTACAAGTCTACTACTACAACATTGTAGTAAAATTTTCTAGTCACATTTTTTTCCGTGCATATGCCAAGTTTGGTCTCAATATCTCGACCCTAAATGCCCTAGCCCCCAGAGTGGAACCCCAACCGGATTATTTTTGTTGGTATTTTCAATAATCCTGTTGGTTAGGTTTGGAAAATATAAGTAATTTCTATGAATAATTTTTTGTATAGGTAGATTGAAGTGATTATTCTCAGGTGGTTCTTTATTGTTTTATTTAAGTCCAAGCTAAAAATTTGTTTCTTTAAAAAATATAACTTAAACTAATTTTAAATTATTTTTTGATTTCTTTATTATGTTTAATATTATTTCTACTTTTTCTAACAATAATAAATTTAAGGTATCTACTTTGATTGAGCCAAAATATTTAGTAGGGGAAGTTTTTAATATTATATAAACATACTCGTGTGTCCAAAAAAATATATGAATTTGGCTAAACAGTAACCTTTATTTCTAAAAACAGGAGGACAATGTTACTTGAAAAATGTATTTAGAATTAATATTTACTACCATCAAATCCCAGACCTGGACACAATTATTTTTTTTTTTAGCAATACGGGAGAATCAGAAGTGACATTTTTACAAATGAAATTACAAATTTATTTGAGATCATGTACAAGATTATTCATTATTAAAGACACCTTTTATAACTACAATTGCATATTCAAAAAAAGCTTTAAATAAAAGTTTGTGGATATGACTGACTTTTTTTTAAATATGCCATAAAAACACGTATTCAGATTTCAAGGAATACAACACAAATAAACTTTTTTAAATGGGATACCCTCTATGTTATTAAATTTCTGTGATATATTTTTCTAATTTCACAAATGTATATTATTGATAACCCTATCTTATACCGTCTGTTTTCGAGTAAAAAGTTAACATTATTATGTTTGATAATAAAATAATAAAATAATCCAAATAGGTAGTTTACAGTGAGGAAGAAAAAGTGTAAATATTTATAAGATATTCGACGTTTAATTAATCAGGAAAGAATAAAGATCAATCCGAAAATTGAATAAAATATATATCTATGCTATCCTATTAAAAAATATTCATGTTAAATCCTATGAAATATGCACGCCACTGATATGGTCATTTGATAACATTTTTACAAAATTCGGTCAATGTAAACACTATACAATAATAATTATGGCATAAAAGGAGAGTAATTTATAATGAATAACCCTGTTAGGTACCTAATAATTTTCAGTAAAAAAAATTTTAATTCGCAATTTTATAAAAATGTAATTTCGTGTTTTCTTGGTGGAGACATTTTGCGACACACTGTATATTTAAATCCAAAATGATGTATCTTTTAACACATACCTAATACAAATTTATTAGCAAAATTTAAATGTTATTTTCGGTATATTTCTCGTTTAGATACACACATTTTTAGTTTCATTGTAAAAGATTTATATAAAATTACCGGACCTCATAATATTCTATTATTATTTGATGATCGCGAGTGGCCATAGCAAAAAGATGTAATTTGAGCATGAAGATTTAGATTAACTTAAAATTAATTTAAGTTTTACCAATTTGGAAAATAAAATTAATTAATAAAAAAAAGAATGTCTACTCGTGGGTTTGAACTCGGAACCCTTCGATTCATAGACGAGTACTTTAAATTTTTGTTATGGAGAATTATGAGAAAGTTTTACTTTTAACCGCTGATAATCAGATTGCTTTTAGTTTCATTAAAATCACAGTTTATTTCTAAATATAGACGAATATCTTGTGGAATGCTATTATTTATTGATTCTTCACAATAATCACTAATTTTTAATTATATTTAATCTCAATAACTAAAAAAATATATATTGACAATTAATTTGACGGAATTGTCACTTATAAAGTTCTAACATCTGACGTAACTTTTACATGGCGGTTATCCTACTATAGTTCTTTATACAATGGTAAAAGCCAGGTAGGCAATTAAAAAAAAAAGAAAAATCGTCGGATTCAACTTTCGTACATTTTCCCTTAAATCGTCTAATTTTCTAGAAGTTTTCTCTATCAGACAGCAAAATATACTGATATTTTCATGGCAATAGAATATTTTCACGAACCTATTTCCATTCCGAACCGCAGACCTTATTTTTCTTTTTCGCAAAATTTGTAAACTCGAAGTATAAAACACAAAGTGCGCTTTTGCTCCAAACTACCAGTGCATTCAATTCTTGCGCTGCTTTGCGCATATAGATGAGATATTTTCTTTGCGAAAATGTTACAACTTAATCGGTTGTTCCAGGTGACGGTAACGACTACTTGAACGTGGCAATCAAGGAGGGGATTCTCAGCCTCACAATGGGTCTATCGAATGGTAAACAAGAAATGCAAATCAAGCCCAATAAAGTGCGCTTCGATGACAATCAATGGCACAAAGTTAGCATACATAGGAGGATACAAGAGGTAAATTTTATGCTTTTAGTTATTAGAATATTTGCTGGGGTTGGATCCAAGGAAAATTCCATCGAGATAGAATAAAGTAGAGACGACATAAACACTATTTTGCGATAAGACATATGGACGCACTTAGCGATGCTAAGGCTAAGACTGACAGAAAAATGTAATTAAAATGGCGACGTAGACAGAGTAGTACTTTGATTTGAAGTCAGTAATTTTATATTTGAAGATTGTCGGAATGAAAATATTTAACTAATGTTAAGAAAATATATAAAATGTATTGTTCAAAAAATTGCTTTAATTCCAACACATATTTTTTAATTAGAATAAATGATTTTATCTGTGTAAATTAAAAGTCATTTTTTTTTAAATGTTTTATTGTCCTTTAAATAAAACCATCTTATTACTATGGTGTCTTATACTAATTTTCTTATTTGCTTTATTTTTTGATAAATAGCACATTCTTACATTTAGGTACCTGCTCGCAACACATTTCAATAATAATGTTCTGTGATTATCAAAAACTGACTGATCGAATCCATGTTGTATAAGACTTGAAAATGTGTTTGAAAAAATATATTCTCTTAATACTAACTGAATCAAGATGTCAAGTGAAATCTGTTTTTCAGAAACTAATTAATCTGATTTTTAAAAGCTTTTCACATGTCATACAGATAGCGATAACATCTTCTGATGGGTAATGCAATTTGTTTTTATTTTTCATATCTATGAATGAATATATATTAATATTTTTTGTATCACTTATCACTTATTAGTGCTTGAGAACATTGTCCATAATATATTTTTTTATTTATAGAATGAACAACGTAACCCGCGATGTAAGTAATTACATATTTCGAAAATGGAGTAATACAGGGATCTCGTACATAACGTGATCTAATTCGATGGCTTCAATAATTTCAAAGGGACCATTTTCATAATCTTGTGCTTGATTGGAAAATGAATATCCAGTTGATGTTATATAAAGTTGTCGACTACATCGCACTTTAAAATACTAATCTCTTCTAAGGGTATACAGTTCCCACGAAAATTTTCACACAACTCTACATGGACGAGTAGCTTTTTATAGGCTGACACAATTTGTCTTACTGTGGAGTTGTTATTATAACCCCCATGTAAACGGATCGAACAAAAAAATAATTCCAAGTTATCCTGGGAGATTTTATATTTTGGTAAGAAAGATAATAAATTGTTTTGCACAACTAAAGAATTAAATAAACATTTAGTACTGTGGATACAGACTTGTAATCCTAAAAATCTCGTATGCCTCCCACTGTTTAATAATAATTGCCCATTGCAATGTGTTTTTAAGCCGTCAATATATGTATCGGCCATATCCAAAAATATTAAAATATTGTCAAAAATTTTTGTAGATAGAGGTTTTTTGTAACCAAATTGAAGAAGATTTCCCGAATGTTGTGACTTTCTTTCTAGATTGTATCTAAATTATAGAATAAATTCTTTAAAATATGAGACCAGAAATATATATAATTTTTCTGGAAAATTCTTTTTGATGTCCAGCAAAGTATTTAGTTCTTATTGTTTACTTTGCCTTAACGAAAATCTTTAATTAGAAAGTCTTAAACTTTGAAATTCAAACAAATTAACAATACACTTTTTAACAACTCATTAAAAATGATTCTTCAATAGTTCATTATTGAAATAACGATGAAAACCGATATTGAAGGACTTTTTTGCTTGACGATAAGCACTTAAGATGGCTAAATACCGAAAGTGCCTTGCTATTTCAATAAAAAAATTGCACGAAATATTAGTTTTCTTTGCTGATCTAAACTGCGTGCACATATGAGTTAATCTCTTTTGGTTCCTTTTAATTGTTTCATGTGACCGACCACATCTGATAAGAGAACTAAACTTGGATTCAGCAAAGACGGAATCGCATAATCTTTTAGACGAACAAAATGTACAGAATTTTTATAGAAACAGTTTTCTTCAAAATGTCTAGAGCATAGTACACTATATTTTGAAGGTTTCCAGTCAACTCTATTTACAAATCCAATCCATGAATCCCGCGTTACAGAGTTCTTTGGAAATCTATAATTCAAGTATAAAGTTCTTTGGAAATCTATAATTCAAGTATTTGTATATTTAGCGTTGTGAAAATTTAAAACTTATTCCTTAACTGTACCTACAGGAATAGCATAAAATATGATCTTTATAGCCCAAATGATTTATATGGGCATCACTACTGATGTATAATTATAATTACATTTTTATCAGAATCTAAACTAGCAAGAATGATAAACTTATATTATTAGAAAAGTAAATTATGATTAATTAACACACAAACATTGAAACAAAAATTAAGAATACGGTCCTTATAATTGTTGAGAATATGCTGTAGACTTACTAATGAAATGTAATTCTTGAAGTTTTTTTCTTATTAACGCTGTCACTGCTGCAACAGCTTCTTATAGCACATGATACCATTATTTAAAATTAAAATAAACAACCTTTTATAAGATTTAAGTGTAGCTATTTAAATAAAATGGCGTTTATTCTCACCAAAACAGTAATCAAACTGACTAGGTCACGTTAGTTTGACACATGACTTAAAAATGTAATGCTTATTGAAAAGTGCGGACACTTTTAGTAACGTCATAGCGTCTCACCTTTATTCTATCTCGATGGAAAATTCACAGGGTTATGTATTTTCCAGTGGTCGATTTAGAGACTAATATTCTGTCTAAGGGTTAATAATGAAAACGGTTTGTATTGTAGTAATTTTCCATTTCCCCGAGACTAACATTAATCAATTTTTAGATACATTTGAAAATGATAATCTCTACTGTCCGTTGAATTTAATAACTTAATATGCGTTGGAGATTTTAACATTGACATGTTAACCGAAAGTAACTCAACGAATACTCCTAACTCACTATTCGAGGGCACTGGTCTGATACAACACGTAAAGATAGTTTATTAGATTATATAATTATTAATGATCATTTAGATTTTTCTAAATTAAATGTCATATCTGTAAATTTTTCTAATCACTTTCTCACAGAATGTACATTAAATATTAAGATTACAAAAAACAATCATCAAACAAAAATATACACAGACTTTCCTAAAATAAATTTAGATAATTTTAATGTTGATCTTAAGAGCTATTGCACTGCTCACAAATGCAATCAAAATGTGTGAATTTCGAGTATTTGGTTTTCATTGTAGACGGCACAATAATGAATATATTTTATTAATTTTTTTTTTGCAAAAAGAGAAAGGCTTGGACTATCATTCTACAGACGCTTTTGATTAAAATATAAACGGTTCAACCAGAAAAAAATCTATAAATTCAATAAAATTATTAAAAAGAACCTAACTTTACCAGACAAATTATTATATTAAAAATACATTGTTTTTAAAATACAACGATGTAAATGTAGTTTCATCTTTTCTCAAGAGAATAAAAAAATAATAATTAAAATTGGATTTGAAATAAAGATGTAATCATATAAATACGTAAAGTTGTTATTCCCAAAAATACCTATAAAACTTAATATTTTGACTCCCTTCTCTGCACGATTCCATTTTCATCGACGCATCGCTCGGCGTGACTCGTTCTCAATCGACAGTGCAAAGCACAGCCCGAAGCTTGTTTGGCGTATTTCAATTTTTATCAGTGTTGGACTCATCCATCATTATTAATAGTCCAGTCATTATAGTAAGTTCACCTTGGAATTCGAGATACCCAGCTGTAAGTCTGTAAATACTTGTATATTGACACCCTAAAAATTTTCTCAAAACCTTCATTTGGTAGGGTATACGCAACTATTAAATTTCAAGGTCAAACGTCACAAAAATCGGTTTTTTGCGCTTTTTTTTTTTGTAAATATCTCATTTCCTATGGGTTTTTGCTATTTGTATTTATTATCAATATTGTAGAATACAAAATTCTCTACAAATTTTGTTTAAAAAAATTTTTCATACGGTGAACCGTTTTCGAGATAGAGGGCGGAGAGCGCGCAGTCACAGCATCACTTCTGGTCAACCGGTGCCTCCGGTCGAAGACGCGCAATGATTATAAATATTTGTCAATTTTTATTAGCTATTATATTATATTTTATCATTTTTTTCCTAAACTATCCACTTTTTATTCAGTATTAATTTATTTAACAACACTTACCTGCCCATGTAATTGCATAATCGTTAATGAAAATATAGGAATTATATTTGAATTTTAACCTAATTAATATTAATAACTTCTTACACGATGAAAAAAAAAACAAATAAATTATGAATTAATCTTTTTATTAAAAAATAACATTCAATACATTTATTTTTATTAAAAGTAAAAAAATGGAATAAAGGGTACAGAAACTACAATTTATAATTTTAATCATCTTCTTCCTCTTCATCGTCGTCTTCCGGCTGCTGGTAAATTTCAAACTGGTCTTCATTATCGTCTTCAATGACATTTGTCTCAAGTTCTTCCATGATTTCGGGGTCAAAGGCTTCATCTTCGTTAATGTCGCTCTGATATGGTAGAGCATTGAGACAAGCTTGCCCATTACATTGGCCACAAGCTAAAGAGCATTGCAAGTCCGCTTTCACGCATCCGCATCGCGAACCACAACCACTCTTGCAGTTGCAGAAAATTGTATTTAGCAAATCTTCTGGAGCAGGTGGTAAAATTGTCATGATAGGCTCCAGAAAATCGTTTCGCATTGCCCAACCCCATACCTGGGGTTCCAAATCATGCCCTAACCAAGTTTGAACTTGATAATATACACGTTTGAAATGTTGATGAGCAGCTGCACTTGTTGGTGGAATATTTGAAAGCTGCACAGGTTTATTAAGTTTTGTAGACTTGACGTAATGCATATAACGAAGATGATCGAGGCTTTTCACAGATTTCGAAGCATTATAGACTGCTAATAAGGTTTGAGTTCCACTTTCTAATAATCTCTGGGCCGAACAATTTTCTTCCAAATTTGTCAGTTTCTCAAAAACTTTTAAAA